GACGCTGAGTACGCACTCGCAGCAGCTGAGTCATGCCGGGAGGCTGCTCGTACTCTGTGTGCTCTCTTCCCAGGTCGGTGCTGCTCACTCCACACACCATGGGCTCTTTCTGCACATTCTCCAAGCGGTACACTATGTGTTTGAGGTCTGAGTTGTCGTCCATGGGCTCAATTCCATAGGTGACATTTCCCACGTGCAGCAGTCCCCTAACAACAGAAAGAGCACGTCACCCACACCAGCACCCAAAGCAAGGCCGCAAACGACCCACCCAGACTTCTGGAGAGCAAAGGGAGGCAACAGGAAACCACCGACAGCCACAGGACACAAAGAAACAACCCTTCCAACACACATACGCTCTGCTTAGCTTATACGGGCAAGCATCCCCATGACAGCAATGGGACTTTCAGGAGGCACACAGATAGTGTCTGAGCTACCTGGGGTCCTTATGTCAGACTTCCAAAAACAGCAGCCTTTCAGCTCAGGTATTACCGCCGCTTACCACTGGGCCATGACAGAGCAATAAAGAACAGCAAAGGTCAAGAGCAAAACTGTTCCAAAAGGCAGCAAAACCACGCAAGTCCAAAGAGCTTTCCAATCAGTGCTGAAGCTTAGGGGGCTTTTACGAGCCACGACTGGTGAAGTGGCTGTTCATTCTTTCACTCCAAATGGTAGCTTTTTCTTTTTTAAAAACAGACTATTACATCCAATCCAAAACAGTTCATTAAAGTGAACATCCACCCTGGACTGTAGAAATATTAGGAGTCGATGCAACGATTTCTAGTGGGTTCGCCAGAGGTGTAACAATGGAGTGGATTGTTGCAAGGGCTAAGGGAAAAAAGGAGGAATGTTGAACTGCAACTTGAGAATGAATGCAAGTGAGACTGACCAAGGACTAGTGCCAGAGACACTGTGCCAAATGGACACTCTCCTGCAGGACAGCACCAAACAGCCTGGGTTGACAGCTAAGGAAAGCTCAGGGGCAGGACTGGGTTTCAGCTATTCTGACTCTGACCAGGCACAACTGTGACACAGCAAAAAAAAAAACTTTTGTTACCTGAGTCCAGTGCAAGTGCTGACAGCAATCGCAGAATCTGGTATCCCCTCCACGTATCCCTGATAGTGACAGTGATCCTGAGGAATGCAAGGCAAAATTATTCCTGTAGTATCACAAATGCACACAGTCCTCTGTTTCAGTGCAGTGCCTCAGGTCTGAAGACGGCTCATGCATTTACCTGGAGCACGTGCTTCTCAGCACAACTCGTTCAGCACGCAGTACCATGGCACTAGCAGCCTTCACCCTCGCAGCTCCCCTCAGTTTCACAGCTTCCCAGAGCCTTTTGACAGCTGCTCCCCCTTCACTGTCCCAGCCCGTTACACATAACTTACAAAACGGGCAGGCATAGTCCACGTTACCTGGAGTGCCATTAAGTTACGTGGCAGACAGTGGGGCTGAAAGATCCTACGCACCAATGCAGTATATGCATTTAAATGCTAGGCAGAGACCTGCTCTTTGTTGCAGCGGAAGCAGCAGGCAACAACCTGGGACCGGTATTGTAGCACAGAGCTCAGCAAATCGCGTGCTTACCCACCACGCACTCAAGCGGAGCACGCTGGAACACATGCAGATCCAGCGCAATCGGTGGGCATGGTTGCCACTAGCGCCGCATTCATCTCACCGTACTTATGGCATCCCCCTCCCATGCCCGAGGCAGCACATATACAACAGTGCCAGATACATGCCCACTACCCTCCACCCCCCAGTCAACATGTGAAGTTCTCAATCCAACTACCAGTTGCTGCAGGACTCGCCCTTCCGGCGACGGGCCCTCACCTCCCGGCACTGACTGCAGGTCCCCTTGGCAGCCCAACAGGGCCAGCCATTCTGCAATACAGAGGGTAACTACAATCCCACCCGCCCAGCCCTGGCTATGGCTGTACTGTAGACTCTAAACCCTAGGTTTAGAGCAGAAAGCGGCTGTACTAACATCTGCTAGGCTATGAAGCCAGCAGGGCTCAGAAACACCATCTGCAAACATTGTCTTGCCTTGCGGCAGAGCTGGCCAACTCCCGAGTCATTTGTCTCCCACCCAACTAAATTTTGTTCGCTTGGCCCTCTGCTGCTGCTGCATGCCAGCATATCGCTCAGCCTGTCAGGAACGAGCACTGGATCCCACTCTGCTTGGCTTGCATGTCACCTCTCTCCAGCCAGTGTTATTACTGCTGTTATTATTGCCAGTGGACACTCAGCGCTGCCTAAGCTCTTCAGTCCCGTGGCCCATCCCTGATCAGCCCTGACAACATGTTTCCCTCCCCAGGCAATCGCACACACCCACAGCACAACAATACCAAATCGCAACCATTATCTGCTTCAGCTTAGCTCTCCCCGAGAGCCCCGAAAGGCCAGAGCTGTTGTAGTGTAGCAGCTGGCTATGCAGCTAAACAGTCCGGCCCTACGCCTCTAAACACGCAGCTTGGTGGTGTCCTGTGTACACGCTGTATTTACCTCCCCAAAATAGCGACAGGAAGAGGCACAACCAATTCTGTGCTCTGCATGTTTCCCCTTCCAGTCACTCGCCCAGGACGGGGCAATCCAAACAAAGACTTATTGTCCACAGCCCACAGGCTTTTCCCAGCATTGCAGCTGTTATGACCCAGTTCACTGAAAAGGGTGCGTCTGGAGAGCGCTGTGGTGGTCAGGTGGATGAAGTCATTTGCTCTTTTGGCCCCATACCTTGCCAAGCGCTTGAGGCATGCAGTAATCCCTCTGAGCCGCAGTACTTACCATGGTCTCCTGCCGAGCTGAAACCCTGATCTGCAGATAGCTTTCTCCCTTATTCAGCCGCTGGCTGAGTCACAGAAAGTTAATTAAAACGAGCAAAGACTCGGGTACCTGTGCTGCTCCAGTAAAAAGCCCACATGCACACAAGCTGACTTCTGGGAAAAGGCAAAGCTGGTGTGCATGCAGGGAGCAGAGGGGGTGGGAGATGAGGAAATGCTCTTTTATGTATTGTGACATGAATCACCATTTGCTCTTGCTCCATGACACCTGCCTCATCTTCAAAGGCTGATTAAGTCCGTGCCCACCAGGGGACAGAGGAGGGTGGGAGCAGCAGCTTGCCCAGATGAGAGAGGGGAGGGGTGCGCTGGTCTCCAGTTACCAGCTCTGACTGGGGTCTGTGGGGCACTACTGTTACAGGGGGCACAAGGGAACCAACCCACAAAAGAGGGGTCTCTCACTCTCTCTTTTCTAATTTGTGCTCTTCCAAGCACCCCTACCGGGAAACGCTTCCTCTCTATTCCACATCTGTTCTTACACTCCTTCATGAGTCACCTTGGGTCGTAGTATTTAAAAGTCCATGTCAAGAAGGAGACCGTCTAACAGACCACTCCCCGGAAGCACTCTGGTCCCCAGCAGACACGAGCCAGTGCCCTTTAGGAAGCCTGCGTTCACTGAACAGCAGAAGAACTGTTATGGTTGCACACAGTCCAACGACAGACACATCGCTATCCTGTGAGCCTTTCCTGATGAGTAGCACAGAGGAAGGAGCACTGGGAATTAGCCCCTGGCCTTCTGGAAGATGCACTAGTGGATGTCTTTATACATGACTCTTTAGCAACACAGGTGTAAAAGGGCACTAGGCACCAGCTGCAGGCACAGGACAAAAGGAAGAGACTTACCCGGACGTCTGGGTTTTCCGAGTACAACTTCCCCTCCTCATTGTAGCTGTAAACTGTGAAGTCTTTGGGTAATAATTGTCTGAAAGAGGAGGGGAAGAAAATAAAGAGCCACGAAACACTTTATGCTGCTGCAGGGTGATAACAAAACTAATCTCGCACGCAAGCTGCAATTAAATAAGCAATCCAGAAACACTCACCATCAAGGAATTTACTGTTTCTAAGGATAACTGCTCAGTCTGACTGTGCTCTGAAACAGCCCCCCGTCCTAGAACGCAAGTGCAATTAAACTGCCTCCACCAGGGGGAAAGTGTCAGGCGAGATGAGGACAGGAGAACGCAACACACACAAAAAACCGAGCTCAGACCTCACAGGCTGGAAGGCAAGGAGCCGGGAACTGTAGCAGCCAGGCTGTCCGACTGCAGCTGGCTTCTCCCCTTCCCCCCTCCTCCATTTGGGAGGAAAGGAAAGTATGTTGGAAATGGTTCCCATGTAAAAATGCTGACCTAATACTGGCCAGTTCAGTGCTGGTCCTGAGAAGCACAATTCCCACATTTGAGGGGTGAAAAGGAGCCCTCCAGCCCCCCTTTCATTTATTTGTTTGTTATGAGCAGTCTTTTAAGAGGAACCTTGGCTTAAGATGGGAAACGCAGCCCACACGTGGGCTGCTCGTAACCGGTGGCGGTCACGTGAAACCCCTAAAAACACAGCGACAAAGCTTAAAGAAGGAGGGTTTCTTTTTTCTAAGCATGTTATAAACTCCGTAGCCCTGCGCTCCAGGCACTTTCCTTGTTCCAGCAGTAACACAGGAGGGCGGTTACAACTGGAGTAACACTGCAGGGGACAAAATTAAGGAAGGACATCACAGGGACGACAGAGGCACACCCAAGCATTTGCGCTGTGTGATGTAGGCTCCGTGGACCGGACGCGAGAGCTGGGCCATCTTCCACCAGTTCCCCTCACGGTCCCCGAGTGCAGCTGTACTTCTGACAAGTCACTTCCCGGACTGGACACAGCTTGTTACCGGCCTGTCTTTTAGTCCAGCGTGACCGATCGGTGGATAATCCAAGCAGACAGGTATTGGAAGCCCCGTGACAACACGAGTCACTTACGTGTTCTTTTCTAAGTGAATCGTGTGCTCTTTCCCCTCGATCTCAATGACATATGACACTTTGTCCTGAGCCTACAAAAAAGAAATCAGTAACCATATGCTCTCTCAGGCATCACCCAAACCCCTGGAGCAAGCAGCAGCGACATGCCCAGCAATTGTAGGTGCAGTGGCAACACCTCGGATCTCGCCCTCCCTGCAAGTTTGGCAGGCCTAGCCGCAGCAGCAGCAATCCCTGGGGCACACGCAGCTTATCCCAGCCAGCAGCACAGGAACTCAGCAGGTTACGAGGCAATTCCCCTGGAGTTGGGGGGGATTGCTAACCAACACCGCTGAGCCAGCAAAACCGAGTGGTGTAGCTCTGGCCTCGGCCAGGAGAACTCATTTACAGCCAGCGATTCTCATCTTCCTTTCCAGGTCCTCAATGTCTGGTAGGCAAGTTACTGCCCAGCTGGGCCACTCCTGTCCTCACATAAGGCTAGGAGAGGGGTTAATAGCACACCAGCTCCCGTTCTTTGCCACTCAGCCATTTCCTAACACGGGGATGCCCAACAGGTGGCCAATGATCCTAGCCCCCCACTACAAGGCACTCCACAGTCAAGCCACCAGCAGCCTCTTCCCCCTGCCTTGCAATTTCACCCCCTCTGTTATCTCAACTTGAGCTGGGCGACATTCAAGTGAGTCAACGCGCAGCTCCTTTCCAAGTCTCCTGGAAGGAAGCTGAGTGCTTTTCATATAACTTCCTCCAGCTGGGAAAGGACAACGCAGTTTGTATTACTGCCTCCTCCAGCATTTATGAACTGGACCTGCTTGTCCTAATCTTTCCCCTGCTGTACCTCAGCCCAGCAGCACGTGCAGAAGGTTGGGCCTATTTATTCAAGGGGACCGTTCAAACTGACTAGGGACTACGTTGAGATCACGACAGGAGCCTTAGCCTCCAAGTACAAAGCGTCTTTGCCATCATCCTCTTGCCCTGGGTATAGAAATCCTATTAATCCTTCTGCCAATCTGACACTGCACAGTCCTCTGCGGGCGCCTTCAAGCATGCGCAGGCTGTGTTACAGGAGGCAGGTACATGGTCAGTTAGGTCTGGTGCACTACAATGTCTGGCATGCCTCAGGCATGGGGAAGGGGGCACTTCTACTCTTCTGCTGGCCCTAAATTCGTCTAGCCCCTCACCTAAGCAGCATCAGACAGACCAGGCAGCAGACAGAGAATTTAAACATTTCTAAAAATACCGGGTACCTGGGCTACGGAGGAACCAGGGGCAGCGCGCCGCTCTCGTGCTAACCTCTGCGGGATGATGATTTCGTAGGACGACAGAAGAGACCGATCCTGGAAACCTAGGAACACAGAGGAGAAAAGCTGCCTGATGAGTGGCATGAGGGACACAAGGCACTCCGAGGAACCAGGCCCACCCACTCCCTTGGGTACCTTGTGCATCTCTACGCAGCGCGATAGAGCTCTCCCAGAGATGGCTTGGACACCAGCAGCGGCACAGCCCTATCGGCCTGGCGTTTGCCACATCACTGCCTGGCACTGTGCTCTCCGTGCCTCGCCTCTCCACCCGAGATGACGCAGCACTACGAATCCCATCTCACAGAGGCACTGCAAGCACTCTCATACCACCAAGCCCAGGCCTCTCTTAGCAACTAGGACTCCAAGAGGCACCTTTTAACACCACCACACATGCAGGTCTCAACAACCCAGACCATGTTTTGGCACCGGGAGTGACAGGGGATGCTGTACTAAGGCCAATGTGAAGAAGGAGCCAGAGCAAGGAGCTTAAAGCCTTTAAGTAAAGAAAATGCATGTGATCCCCAAAGGAACTGCTAGCAGGAAATGTTATAGCACCAGCCCTCTTGCTATGCTCAGAGTTTGTAGAGGCAGCTCAGTGCCATCATCTGGGTGCTACCCAACTCAAAAAACAGTCTCGTTTGCAGTGAAACTCCAGGACACTCATTATGAAAGCAGAGCGTTTCGGTTATTCATTCAACGAGCCAAGTAGCAGATTAGAAGAGGTTTTATTACGAGCCAACACCCTCCACGCCTGGGTCAGGCAGCAGCCACGCCCCTTGGAAAGCAGGAGACTGGTCGCCCTGGGACTGCACAAAGGGTTTTAAGTGCAACAGATTTTGCTGGCATGCAGCAGTGGAATCAGTGAGCTCACCAGGGGAGAACTGGCTAGACGCTTGGAGGGGAAGGGGCAAGTTCTAGCTCCCCGTGTAGCGTACAGTCCCCAAGAAGCACCGCACTGCCACCAGGCCAGCCCATCTGCCACGCGCTTGCTCCAGCCACCTGCACAAAGGGAAGTGACCGAGCAAACACACAGCATTTACTGCAAAGCAAAGAGCTCAAGCTTCTGGTGAGAATGCATTCACCTGCTTGCTAAGCCGTTTGCTGGGACATCACCAGGGACTCCTGCACTTTCCACCAATGGCTGGAATTTAAAGCAGGGCTAAAGGGAGCCCGAGATGAAAGGGGATTTCAAGTTCCCAACTCCTTAGACTCCACTGGAAAAAAAAAAATTCTCACTCCAGCCATCAATGCTTGCAAAACACACGGGTGTTTAAATAGCACTAAGCGCTCTCTGCTTGGCCAGATCCCGATCTAGCGAAGCTCAGGAAGCTGGCCAACAAGGGCCCTCCAAAAGCCATTTGTTTAAAAAAAAACAACCAAGAGGAAGTTACTTTTGCAGCACTGGAGTGTTTTCAGCCTGGGACTGATTTAATGGTGCACCGCTGCAATTGCCTTCAGGTTACTGCTGAAGGGAAGGCAATCCAAGGAGCGACTCCTACTCCGAGGGCTGCTCTCCTGTTGAGAAAGCCCAGCAGCTTTGCGGCATTACAGCAGCTTATGCTAAGTCCAACATAACCCTCCTGCTAAAGCAATGAGATCCCTGGTTGGGGCCCAGTCAGTCTTTGGGCTGGGGTTTCTACCTGCCCCAAGGACACACATTTCCCCAAGGACAACGTTCACTTGCGGCACCACCGACATTCCCTTGCCAGGCAGGCCCCGCCAGACATTCACTCCTGACGCGGCTCTCAACGGACCCCAGGGCTCCCCCCATACAAGTACCCATGTCCCTAAACACAGCATGCAGGCTGCCGAAAGCTCTCAGCACCACAAAGACTGAAGATGCTGGTCTCTTCCTCCAAGACCTTGCTCTCAGGTACGCCTCTGCAGAGATTGGGGACCTACAATCTGTGCGCGTCCCTGCTCCCTTTGAGAGCTCTCTCAGACAGAAGTGCTCTTGCTTTCCCTCACCCAGCTAACCCCAGATTACCTAGAGAGGCTTGTGGAAAGCAAGGCTATAACCCTCCCAACTAGTCCTCCCAGAGCCTTCTGGGTTGGCCTGTGGGCAAGAGTGAGCTGGCAAGGGCCAGTGCAGCTCCCTCGGTCCCTCACAAAAGAAAATCAGCTTGGAACCGGGCTCCTAGTTCCTTGCAAGGCCCATCCCAAGGTAGCCCATGGTCTCACAGGAGGCTTTGAGCACGTCACCACATTCATGCTTTGTTCCATGAGTTATCTAGTCAGAGAAGGACTGTGATGGTAACTACATGCAACAAGTGGCAAATCCAGCTTTCAAAAGCATCGCAAATCAGGCACAGATCGGACCTGCTCTTTCCGAGATGCCACCCCAATCACTAACACAAAGCGGGGGGGGCCTATCTGTGCTTTGCCACAATTAATTAGCTATTTTGGGTATCTCTGAAGACAGACCGTTGTGACCCATTTGTAAGCCGTCGGCAAGCAAGCTGCAAATGGACGTGGTTTCCTAACTCCAAACTTTGATAGATGTTAAAGGAAACAGTCTGAGGCAGCATGGTACAGGTGGCCGACAAACAAGTGAAAGGACTGCACACTGGTATGGGACAGCGAGTGACCGCTAAGGTTGACGGGAAACAATACATAAATTTATATGGCTTAGCTTGAACGGTGAAATGTGACTAGCCCATTCCAAGGCAATTCTTTCACTCTCAAAACCACAGCAGCCCACCCAGAACAGAATATAAAAAGTCGGAGCTGCCGAAGCAAGCTGGAATCACTGGAAACAGGCTTCACAGCATTTCTTTAACAGCTTCCTGAAGTATTCCCCAGGATATCCTAGACGCCTGGCCAGTGGACTCTAGGAATCCTAGCACCAAAGTCTTCCCGTCCTACTTGCAGCTGCGCTTGCATGCTATGTGACACTGTCCGCTGGGCGAGTTTGTAGTCTGTTAATGGAATCAAGCCAATTACTGGAGTGGTTCCTTGGTCTCAAACACCGCACCACCCACCAATCCCAAACTTATTCCCAGTATCCCCAACAAATCCACCCACTTCCCCTCCCCTCAATCACTCCTAGGCATTCTTCGCGCCTCAGGGGACACCAGGCCACTATCCTCGCATCTCTCCAAGCTACAGGGCTGTTACCTTTTCCTCTCCCCTGCCGGCTACCTTTACATGCCTGTTTGCATCAAGACCGCAAACAGCCCAGGGCACTGAAAGCAGCCTGTGTGCATATTATAACGACTACTATTCCGTTTCTTCCTTGCCTGTTGCACACCTCCTTACACCATTAGAGCAAAATCTGGTCATCCAGCGGCATAGAAAACAACTCTGCAGAAAGGGAGACCTCCTTTGTCTACCCAAGGCAACAGGATGCCATCCCTGCAGACGGCTCTGCCACAGGTGAGAACTACACATCTGTTTATGTGCTCTGTTTAACAAAGCATGACCTAAGCCTGGAAGCAAAAGCAATTAAGATGTTTTTCAATGCCAGCCTGCCCCACAATTGCAAATATACACCCGCTGCAAGAGCGGAGCAAGAGAGAAAGCTCTGAATCACCCTGACAAAAGGCAGCCACTCAGGGTTATGGCATTTCTTGGGAAAAATAAAAGGAAGCCTGAGTAAGTGCACAATTGAGCAAGTCCCGCATTAGTTACTTTGAATTCTTGGCCAGGCCTGTGCCAGGAGAAGACAATAACTGGAGTTCACAGTGGCCCTTGTTCTTGATCCTCTCCAGCCTTTGTGATCATCAGACACATCCTCAGCCAGATGATAGCAGGGGAAGGGTGACTTCCTGTCCTGGGATAAGCTGCCATAAATCCATGCTCTCGCAAGTACCTCCTCTCCATCTGTCACTGCCACCGCGTGCATGGGATCTGTCAATCGTTTCAGGCACTTTGTCACTCCCCACCCCAAAATTCAGGACCTCTCCTGTCCCCTGCTGCAGAGCTACCACATCCCATCCCAGAAGGGGCCGCATGCCAGCCGGGGCCAAACTAATTCCCATCTCCTCTGATGTTCCAGGGATCCTGCAGGATGGAAAATGCGACAGAAACACAGAGACAGCATTAAATCGGGACGGAATCAGAAAACTGCTTTGCTAAGGACTTGAACCGACCACATGGAAGTGACACAGCAAGCGCAAAGACAGTAACGGGAAGGACATTCAGGGGACACATGACCCGGCCATGGAGCCCTACCTCAGAGGATCTGCTGGATGTGCGGGGGCGCATGAGGAGGAAGAAAAAGATGGTACAATAAGCACTTCCCTCCCCCACCGCAGCACTGGCTTGGAAGTGTAGATTCAGCACTGCTGTGCTAGCTTTGCCTCTACGCTCACCTTGGAGAGGCGAGTAAAAGTTCTGTTCAAGCCCTGGGGAACGAGACAGCTAAGAGAGGCCTTGCAGCTGGAGCCAGCTACCATTCAAAAGAAAGCAAAGGGCCTTTTTCAAGCAGCACTGGAGAACGAAAACAATGGGGTTTTGTATTTTAAGTAAAATCCAAGGCTCTATTTTTGGGGGACACCAACCTGCTTTTGCACAGAATTTACATTTACTTGGGATGTATTCCCCTTCGGTTTACATATCTCCCCTCCTCTTCACTGTGCTCCCAGTTTGATTTGACAACGTTCACGCCAGTAAACACTGAGAGTCAGCCGGCGCACCATCTATCCGCACAATGCCAATGGTGACCTTGCAGGAATTTTTAAAAAACAAACCACTCCGACCTCCCACGCCCCAGAACAAAAGAGTTGATCCCAGCACATGCATCCGTTGCATTTACATCCACTTTTAGAAAGACGCTGCCATGCTCCAGTCTGACCTCTCCACGCAGAACGCCACGTTTTCAATCGCTCAACTCTACGCTGAGAAAGAAAACAGATATGAGAGCAATGTAAAATGGAAGTGGAGGGGGAAAATAGTCAGAAAACGCCCATCTTCCAAGTCACCGACAACACACGTACTTCGGCTAGTAACGCACGCTTCTTTATCCCAGGCAGACAAACAGATCTGAGCACTTAAGGACCTAATCATACAATGTGCTGACAACCTTCATCCCCACCAGCAAGCT